GTTCAGAATTTTTGATACTCTAGTATTTTTTTATCAATAACCTGGTTATTGTCTTATGTCACAGAACCCATGTGAAGGCAAACCTTGCCTAAATAAAGGAAAATGCTTGCTCCATAAAAACAGAAGGGATTATCGTTGCCGATGCAAGAAAGGATACAGCGGAGAAAAATGCCAACTTGGTAAGTTTTTTGCAAATATCGAAAAACAAATCTTCGAACGAATCATTGAAAGCCGTATCTATACTGCGAGACTCTATCATACACACCACCTATCAGACACACCCTAACGTAGAAGAAAGGATCTCTGCCTTTCCCTAAAGCCACGTGCATGAACATCAAGGCGAGCATCAGGAGCTTTGTTAGAACCTCTGGTTAGGATTTCTCCTGTAACTTCTTGAAGTACTGCTTCTATTTCAACGTCATTGCAGACCATGTTATAATAATGATGATGATGATGATGATGATGATGACGATGATGATGATAATAATAATAATGGAAACTTTATCTTTACTTTTATTTGAATTAAGATAATAATAATAATAAATATAATAACAATATAAAAATAAAAATAAAATAATAATAATAATAATGATAATAATAGTAATAATAAATTAATTATTCATTGTTTTGTTCACTAAAAACGAAACGAAAAAAGGGCGCGTGCGCTAGTTGATAACGCACGGGAGTAGGGTAAGGCGAAATTTAAACTGCATCCGGTTACGAAAAATAGCCCAATCGGGAATTTACATGGCGCGCGCGATAATAAGAAGTTTCCCTATCTTATTCATATGCTCTCTTGTCTTAAGTAATTCGGCTAAAATCACTTTCTTGCAAGTGCCCCAGGTCTGTAACAACCTTTTGAAGTCTACGAGCAGTTATGTCCTATTGATCACAGACTCAATAATACAGAAATCTGGAAACCTCAACAAAGTATACATTTTCTGAAAGCTGAATAAATGTAGAAACTATTCCTTTTTTCCTTTTTGTAAAATACATTTATCCTTTTAAGTTAGAGCGAATTATTCAAATTTTCACCGTGGCATATCCGCGGAGTTCGATGACAGCCGGTAATGATCGGAAACCAATGCTTATTACCTTTCCGAGATCACAAGACATCACTTGTCAAAAGTGTGTCTCCGATTTTTGATTAATTGCCCCGTTGCTTTTTTATACGCTCTTAAAGTTATGATGCCGCTATATCAGCTGTATCCGAGCCAAAATCCACGATAACTTTGGAAATAAGCAAAAAATCAAAAATCGGAGACACAGTTTTGAAGAACAACTATCCAAGATGACTTACTCAAAATTTCAGTTAAATTGGTCAAATTCCCTTTGACATCGGACTCAAAATGTACGGGTAACTGAACGCAAAATCACTTCCAAGAAAAACGCAAAAATGTTTCTGACTGAGCGGAAGCGCCTTTGTTGACACAAACCGTATTTTTTTATTACTCGCTAAATAAAAATCACTATATCGATTTTTTTTTTTTGAAGAAAATCGAAGAATATTATATATTTTATCGCAAAATGTAAAAATGTAAAAATCGATACTTTTGAGCAATTTTGGGGTACCCTGATACCTCAAGCACACAAATGTTCTACAAAGTGACGAAACAGGAACATTTCAGCGAATTAATGATTTCAAGCAGCATTTTAAAGGATCACTTGTTTTTCAGATGTCAATGAATGCGAAACAAAACCTTGTGATGCAAACGCTGCTTGTATTAATACCAAGGGATCGTATCAATGCACATGTAACAGCGGCTACCATGGTAACGGAAAACAGTGTAGCCCGTATGCCAGTAAGTACCTGTACTACCACATTACAAAGAAAAAACCCTACCATTACATGCTTATTATCTTGGTCAATATCAATCTTCACGGTTAAAATTTACCTTTTGTGTCAAACAGCTACTTGCTGATTCACTTTGAGAACGAATCAATTCAGCCAAAGGTCTCTTGGGGAAGGCTCTGCTGGATTGCAAACCAGTTGATCTGTAATAGTGACGTAGAAATGACGTCACTGCAAAGCCGAGGTGACATGAAGTCATTTCCGCCATTGAAATAAAAATTTAAATTATATGAGTGTGTCATCAGTGTTATCAAGCGCTTATTAGCAACGTTATTTTTTATTTGGTGGCTAGCAAATCCATAATTTCATGAGAAAAAATGACACTTCAGTTTTGCAAATTTTCTCAATTCTGATTGGCTAGTATCTTTTCTCAGATCAGCTGGGCAAACTTTAAAATGCTTCGTATCTTGAAATCGRAAGTATCTCAAGGGATAAAAATATATTTTGGAAAACTTTTTAGACATGACATTAGTAATCCAGCAAGAGGTACTAAGGAAGTCCGATTTTTTTGCCAGTAACAGTTATGTGATTATGCCCTGCAAAAGGGCTATCATCAGGAAAATTACCTCATTCGATTAAATATTTTGTCACTTGGAAAATATTAACTTGCCCTTAGACTAAATAGACTATCGTTCTTCACGAACGCTCAAGTAACTGAAAAGAAAAATAAAATATAACGCGCTATATTTGATGCTGTTCGTTCTCAGGAGGACTTGATTCTTCGGCTATTTTAAGCAACTATGGCAATGCGACTTTTCTGCAAGATTTGGGTCTTTACTTGTTTCCAGTTGTGCAAAACCCAAGTAAAAGTCTTTGGGTCAGATGTTGGCACGCTGCAAATGATGGCTGGAATGTTAGAACCACATTCCACCCCCAGTGTGATGGAAATAGTCCCACAGTGACTATAGTACGTGTAGTTAGCTACGTGTTTGGTGGATACAGCGATGTTCCATGGCAGAGTAAGTAGTAAAGAGACCTACAGTGTCTATAGTACGTGTAGGTAGCTACGTGTTTGGTGGATACACAGATGTATCATGGGACAGTAAGTAGTAAAGGGACCCACAGTGACTATAGTACGTGTAGGTAGCTACGTGTTTGGTGGATGCACCGATGTATCATGTCAAAGTAAGTAGTAA